CCAGGGTTTGTGTCCAGTTTCTAGGCCCCAGCCCCTCCATGGTCCCTAACCCTAACCCTTACCCCCCTTCAGGTTGTCCCAGCTGGTACCTGAGCAGGTGTGTGAGCCAGCGTGCAGGCGTGGCCCACAGGAGGTAGGGCAGTGTGTGGAAATACCAGACGTAGAACTGGTAGTGGAGAGAACGGCTGAAGCAGATGCCAATGAAGTTGGAGGTGAAGAGGGTGGAAACGATCTGTATGCAGTGGTCAAGGCCAAGGGCAGGAGCAGAGGGGACAGGGGCTGGGGGTGGGGTCAGGCAGGGAAGTTCCAAAGCAGAGGGGTAACAATTTTTGGGTCAGATCGCCCCCTGGCTCTACCATTCCCAGATGCGTATCTTTGGACAAGTTTCTTAACCTCTCTGGACGTGCTCCTCAATCTAAGGTGGAGAGTGATACCGAGGGCCATAAAAGCCGAGTGAGTCCATCCTTCCTAGCTGGGTGACCTTGGTAAGTTATTTAACCTCTTAAAGCCCGAATGTTGTCCTCTGTATGTGAGGATAATAAATACACCTTCCTGTATCAGGGTCTCCTGTGAGCTTTAAATGTTAGAATGTACATAAAACTCTGAGCACAGCACCAGGCAGAGGATGCACACTCATAATAACTCAATGATATTTAAAATTATGAATAAATATGCTTAAATACGTAAATGCTCAGCACAGTGTTTGGTACAGAGCAGGAGCTCTAAGAATAAGCCCTGTAGCTATTACTGGTGCCTCCTTTTCCCTCCCCAGGTCACCAGCCATCCAGGGCCACCTGACCAGGGACCCTGTCTGCACCTGGGGAGGGCAACACTTACCTTCCCATGACTTAAAGGATATGATTGGCTGTGAGGGGTTGGGGTGGAACCTTCCTTTTGGAGGGATCCTTCAGCAGCGACAGGATACTTTCCCCTGTCCTGGGGAAAAGCCATTCAGACATTTACCAAGCTCTCATCATGGGCCACGCTCTAAAATTCACCTCCATGAGCTCAATATCTCCCCTAAGCAGCCCCTAAGGCCCAGGCCCTTCACTCCTTCCCCTACATCTGCCCTTGGCACTGCTCCCCTTTCTCACCTGTGCCACCTGCAGAGAACAAAGAGCAAGAGCAGGGTGAGGTGGGTGGCCAACAGTGCCAGGTGGAAGGCACGATGCAGGAAGAGGGTCTCGGGGAGGAAGCGCCAGTTCACTGTCCAGCGGAAGAGAAACTGGCGGCCCAGGTCAAAGGAGCGGGACAGGTACCCGACGGGGTTCTCCAGCAGGAAGGGCAGCCCCAGCACCACCTGAGATGGATGTGACGTCAGCAGAGCTGCCCAGGCTCACCCCAGCCTCATACTCGTCAGGAGAGTGGGAATTGGGTGTAGGTCTCAGAGGTTCCTTAATTCCCGAGGATTCCTCCCCCACCTCCACCCCCAACCCCTCCCCTGTCAGAGCCTGGGGCCAAAGAAGCTGAGGAGGCAGGTAATGACAGTGCTTTAAGTCATAAATGGGCAGAGCTAGAAAGTCCCTAAGAGACCATCTAGCTCAACAACCTTATATTACAGAAAAAAAAAACCCAAAACAACCAAACAAAAAAACACAAAGCCCAGAGAGGTAGTGGCTACCCAGTCCAGAATCAACTCCAAAACCCTTGCCCCTTGGCTGTGAGGAAGTCTCAAGGAGGGAAGGAGGCCATCTTTAAAAAGGGATGAGGCAGGAGTACCTGTAGGACGGCACAGATGCCCAGCTTGGGGAGGGCCCCACGGAGGCCAAATTGTGTGAGGAGAAGGAATAGTAATCCAGGGGCGAAAAGGAGCACGTTCATCTTCACAGAGACTGCCAGGCTAGGGTGCGTAGAAGAGATAAGGGTGGAAATCAGCTCGAGGGCTATGCACCCCCACCACCACCATCACAGCAACTCCTCCCCTCCACCACCAAGTTCCAGGGTAGCTTGGTGTGCAGGGCAGCAGAGCTGCAGGATGTGGATGGGTATGGGTTCCAGGAGAGCTCGATGAGCCCCAGCCCCAGCAACCTGGAGATAGGGCCCACACTCAGAACTGCGGGAGGGAGGGTAAGGTAGCCTGGGAGGAAGCTGGGGGTAGGGAATAGATACCTAGTCTCTAAGCCCAGACTGAGCAAACATATATCTACAGAATAGTAAGAATATTAATGACCAACTCCAATACAACTCTGTGTATTGTGGGTTGGAGTGGAGACTTTCTACAGATCCTGGACTCACCTGGTGGGGCCTAACTGACCCACATTGTCTGGCCACTCCCTTGCTGCAGAAATGTGGGGAAAAAGTGATGGAAATACAAAAAGTAAGAAAGGGGACCAGAAGGGAGGGATGCTGACCTGAAACAGCAGCAACCCCAGCCCCAGCGCTGGGCCAGCAAAAGGTTGATACTGAGGAAAAGCAGCGCCATGGCCACTGGGTCATTGAAGAGCCGCAACACAAAGATGGAGTGGACACGGTAAGAGGCACAGCACATGAAGAAAAAGACGAAGGGAGGTACCTACGAGGTGGGCACAGTAGGGAAGGTCAGCTCACCAACCCTGAGCCATCACCAAACCTCAGCCCGCCCAGGGTGGAGACCCAGGTCCTGGTGCTGTGGACTCACCTTGCAGGTCTGGTGGTAGATCAAAAAGACAAGCAGCAAGGTGGCAAGGTAGAGCACAGCAAAGATATGCTGGGCCATGCGGATGTCAGTGCCATGGCCAGTGACATAGTACAGCCCCATAAAGATGTACACAAAGCCGGCTGGGTATCTGAAAGATGAGAGGGAACATGAATCTGGGTCAAGATACCCTGCCTTGTACCCTGGCATCCAGTCAGCCCCCCTCACATTCTTGCTGAACCTGCTATCCGCACTCACACAAGAGGTCCAGTGTCGCCCTGCAGTTGGGTATAGTCGTAGGTGCCGTTGATGACGCCCTCTACCTCTGCCATGTAGGCCTTCCAGTCAATCTCTGTATCTGGAAAAGGAAAGGACGGTGTGGTTACTTCCAAGTCCAAAACTTGTCTGCCCCCAACACCTCCAACCCATCGAAGCACAGAGTTCCAGGTCACCCTCAGGGCTTCTATCACAACCCCTTACCTAACTGCCTGCTTGACATCCTTTGGGTGAACCCAGGCATCTCAAACTCAACATATTTATAATTGAACTCATAAGCTTCTACTCTAAATCCACTCCCCTTCCTGAGTTCCATGAATGGCACCATCAACCTCCCTGTTGCCCAAGTCACAAAACTGAAACTTCCTTCTCTCTCATTTCCAACCCCTAGTTACTATGTCCTCTCTATTCTTCATTCTACATATCTTTACTGTCTTATCCTTCTCTACTATGATATAGCAACATTTGGGCCTACCATAATCTCTAGCCTCAATGATGCAACAGCTTCCTTATTAGGCTCCCAGCTTCCACTTTCCCCTCACCACCATGTATTTGCCACCCTGCAATCAGGAGCTCGTCCTATAATAGAAACACATCATGTCTCTCTGCTTAAAATCCTTCAACGATTCCCTAAGGCTGTTAAGATAAAGACCAAACTCTGTTACTGCCATTTTAGAAAAGGAACCTATGAATTATTGAGCTCAAGATGAGCGAGCTAGGAAGAGCAGAGCTGAAACTGGAATTCATAGGATCCTAGATTCTTAACCACTAAGTATGCTACTATCTCCTTAACACAGCTTACTGACTCCTTTATAATCTGGTCTCAACTTCTGCAATCTCATTTCAGTACTGGCCTCACCTGAGTTCTACATTCCAGCTCTAAAAAGCGTCCAGGCCCAGCGGGCGCGGCTCAGTGTAGAGCATCACCTACGAACCAGGAGGTCTCAGTGGGATTCCCGGTGGGGGCACATGCCGGGGTCGTGGGCTCGATCCCCAGTGTGGGATGTGCAGGAGGCAGCAGATCAATGACTCTCTCTCATCATTGATATTTCTATCTCCCTCTCTTATCCTCTCTGAAATCAATTTAAAAATATAATAAAAATTAAAAATAAACAAACCCCAGAATTGAACAGATGAGACCCAGCTGGGGAAGTGACATGTCCAAAGCCACAGCGACAAGCAGCAGCGGCAGGACATGAACACAGACCCAGGTCTTTGCCGTCCAGCTGGTTTGCTTTCTTAGCCGGCCGGGCTGCACCTTCAGGGCAGAGGACCAATCTCTAGAGTCGCCCCTTTCGTCATGGGGGAGGGTGGTGGATTAAGATCGGGTTTGGTTTTCTGTGGAGCAGGCTTGGAACTTGGGTAAAAGATAATGGGTCTGCAATTGGTGACTAAGTGGACCTGGGGTCTGGGTGGAGCTCCGAATCTGAGTCCCGGTTTGAGTAGGGAGTTCGGGTCCACCTCCCTCCCGCCTTTTCCGCGCCCCTCCTCTCCCCTCCCCCGCGGCGCACTCACATGCCACCCTGTGAATGACCCAGAAGGTGATGCCCACCTCCGCCAGGCAGAGGCAGGCAGCCACCAGCAGCGTGTAACGCGGCTCCAGCAGCAGAAGACGCCGCTCTTGCCAGGCGCGCCGCAACCATTGTCCGCAGAGTCCCGCCAACCGGGGTGGGGGTCCCGCCCGGGCGCGTTTCCGCACGCCCGCGGCCATCTTGTCGGTGCACCGTTCATGTGGGCCCGCCACCCTGGAAACCGGACCCTTTGGCACTTAGGTTCCGCTCTGCGCGCCAGTGTCCTAACCGAGTTGCCAGAGTCCTTATTTCCTACACTAAAATGTACTTCTTCTACATAGGTCTCTTCTGATGGACTGCACGTTCCCTACGAGCAGGAATGGTCTTACTCTTCCGTATATACTTAGCCCTGAGTACCCAGGAGCTAAGATGGATCGAACATTTGCCCAGAAAAACCGCCTCCCCCATCCCGGCCCAGCATAACACTTCGCCGGTGTTGATAATATCTGTGTTCATGCCTGTGTCCACGCCCCTCCCGCCACCCCTCCGGGTGCTCAAAACGGGGGAGAAACAAATCTTTCATTAATTTTCATATTTAATGTAAGGAGCCGGTCAAATTGAAAATATGAGAAGGGACAGTGATGAACCAGAGTGAGTCTGACGCTCTGAGTGTGGTTCTCAGATGTGAGTGACAAGTACAGCCGGAAGCTTCCGAGTCTGGACGACCTGATTAACCAGCCGGAAGATTCTTCGAAGAGCGCTTAGCAGAAGACGGAAGTTCCACGTGTTTATGTTGAGCAACCTCACTGGGGGGCGGAGACTCAAAGGCCACGCCCCCTACGACATTACCATTCAGACTGGCTACCCAGGGGAGCCAAGCCCCGCCTAAAGGTGCCGGCCGACTGCCCTACAGGCCCCGCAGCAACAAGCATGGCCTCTCCCGGGGCCCCCGAGCCCCGGCCGGAGTTACCGGAGCAGAACTCCGGGTACCGAGAGGTCCAGTACTGGGACCAGCGCTACCGGGACGCGGCCGACTCTGCCCCCTACGAGTGGTTCGGGGACTTCTCCTCTTTCCGTGCCCTCCTAGAGCCGGAGCTGCGGCCCGAGGACCGTATCCTCGTGTTAGGTGGGTAGTCCCGGCGCTGCCCAGCCCAGGTGGAGCCGGCGGGACCGGCTTCGCCTCGGCGCCCCCGTCCGCTTTCCTCGCGTCTGTCTGCCCTTGACTGAGGATGCCCAGGTCAGGAGCCAAGATCCGGTACCTTCAGAACCTGGAGTCAGTTTCCTGTCCCCCCCCAACTCGACAGTCTCTCTGAGTCTGAGCGTGGTGGGTGAGCCGGGGCCCCGTTCCGCCCCCTCGGAAGGCACCGCGAGCCCTGGAGAACTCAGAGGTCTAGTAAGTCCCCACGCTAGTTGGCTCTATGACTAGGACAGGTCGTAAACGCGTCCTGAGCTTCGGAGTCACTTCTAGAGATGGAACTGCGAGCTCAAGTCGGATAAGGCACATGCAGGCACCTCGAGCACAGTGCATAGCATCTTTCTGTTTGCGCCAATGGGCACCGGGAGCTGTTGTCACCTGGAGAGAGTTACCACTTTCCGAACTCGGAAACTCGGTCTGATGCCCCGCGTGCAGTGAGGAGGACAGCGCCCTCCGAGGTCAGAGGGGATATTGCAACCGAGATCGGTGAGATTCGAGGAAAGAGTACTAGGATGCAAGATGGGGCTTTGTCCCAGGGCCAGCCTTGGGGGGGCGGTCTAGAGAAGTTGGATTGAGCAACTTGTTTCCTTCCAATTATAGTTTTTATTTTGGTATTTGTAAAAGCATTTATATGTTTAAGTGAAATATTTCATGTGCTCGCTTCGGCAGCACATATACTAAAATTGGAACGATAGAGAGATTAGCATGGCCTCTGCGCAAGGATGACATGCAAATTTAAAAAAAAAAGTATTTCATATACGTCATCTGTAATACAGTATATAAAAGGTATAAATAGTAAATCTAATATGTATGTGTATACCATACTCAGTTTGAAAAATAGAATATTCCTAGAACTAGAAAGGAAGTATAACCTAGTGGTTAAGAACTTGGACCCTGGAGGCAGCTAATTCTGTTGGAATCTAGGCTCATGTAATCTTAGCTGTGGAATAATGGGGGAAATCACAGAATCTTAATGATGTAGTCCTGGAAAAAATACTTAAATTTCTGTGCCTCCATTTTCTCAGCCTTAAAAATAAAAAGATACTCCGTATTACTTATTTACTGGGTTTTTAAGATGATTGAATGAGTATGAAAGATACCCAAAGCAATGCCTGGCAAAATAAAAAGGCCCATGTATATTCAAGGTTTTCTGCGTAGTCCTCCCAAACCTTTCCCCCCCCTAGAAGTAAAAACTCAAATTTTATGCTTTTAAGCCATTACATTTATTTATAGATTTACCATAGATCTAATTTTTTAAAGCTTTAGTGTGCATCAAAATCACCTGGAAAGCTGGACCCCATCCAGGGACAGTTTAAGGTGGGTCCTAGGAGTCTGTAGTTTTAGCAAGCCCACAGCGGATTCTCATGCTGAGAATAACACTGCCTTAAAATCTCCTAGACAGGAAGGTATTCTTTTCTGGAGAGGGGAGAAAAGTCTAAAAATAAAAAAGGAAAACTTTCCAGACATTATTCCCAAGATCTAAAGAGAGGACCCAGCCCAGCCTGTGTGGCTACGTGGTTGAGCATCGACCTATGAACCAGGAGGTCACAGTCCGATTCCTGGTCAGGGCACATGCCAGGGTTTTGGGCTCAACCCCCAGAGGGCATGCAGGAGCCAGCTGATCAATGATTATTCTCATCATTGATGTTTCTATCTCTCTCCCTTCCTCTCTGAAATCAATAAAAATATATTTTAAAAATAAATAAATAAAAAGAGGACCCACAACTTGGGGAATACCTATGTTACATTCCACTTTAACAAACAAGCTGAGCACCCGGTAGGTGCTAGGGAATGTGCTGGGTGGGCCCTTTCTAACTTATTTAATATTTATGACAACCCTGAGAAGTGAGTAATAAGTATTACTAGACTTACTGTAGATCAGGGGTCAGTACTATTTCTGAAAATGGCCAAATAGTAAATATTTAGGGCAGTGATGGCGAACCTTTTGAGCTCGGCGTGTCAGCATTTTGAAAAACCCTAACTTAACTCTGGTGCCGTGTCACATATAGAAATTTTTTGATATTTGCAACCATAGTAAAACAAAGACTTATATTTTTGATATTTATTTTATATATTTAAATGCCATTTAACAAAGAAAAATCAACAAAAAAAATGAGTTCACGTGTCACCTCTGACACACATGTCATAGGTTCGCCATCACTGATTTAGGGCTTTGTGGGCTATACAGTTTCTCTGACAACTAGTCAGTACTGATGTTGTAGTAGAAAAGCAGCCACAGACAGTACCTAAATGAATGAGAACAGCTGTATTCCAAGAAAACTTTATTTACCAAAATAAAGCTGAATTTTGTTCTCCCTGCTGCAGATCATTGTCTCAGGCTGGGTCCAGAAACAAATCCTAAGATTACGATTCGTCTCCTAGTTATTTGTTAGGGATGTGCTCCCAGAAGAAATCAGTCAGAGAGTGAGGGAATAGGGGAGGGAAGAGACCAAGCAGGATTGTGATCACAGGCAAAAGTTTCCCTGAGGGTAGTTCAGCCTGAAGAGTCACAGATGCAAACTGTCAGAATCGAGCACACACCAAATCCTAGACACACTTCAAGCAGATCTGATCAGAGCACTGACAGTGTCCACGGTTGTCATGTAGCAAGTAAGTGGTAAAGTAAGGGTGCCACCTGACTCCAGAGCTTCTGCTGCTGCACCATGCTTATGGGCATAGAGAGACATCTAGAACTCAGTTACGATTGGTAAAATGACTAAAGATGGAATGTCACAACTGAAGGTGAGTGGACCTCTTGAAAACTGGTAGACAGTTTCGCATAGTGGTTTAAGAGCTCTGATTCTGGCGTGAAACAGGCCTAGATCCAAATTCTAACTCTGCCACTGGACTAGGTGACCTTGGGAAGTTTCTTATATACTTTGGGCAGCCTCAGTTTTCCCATCTAGAAAATGGTAATGATAATAACAGTTACCTTCTATATGAAGGTAGTGTGAAGATAAACTGAGATAATGCTTAGAAATGCTTAGCATAGGGCCCGGTGTTCAGTGACTATTAGCTATCATTATTATTATTAAAAATGGGAATTAGAGGGGCAGTTTATCACAGACCATTCAGAGGACAGAGAGTACCCTGCCTGGGAACTTGTGTGTCTGGTCCCTATGGCTAGAATATCCTCATAACAGATGAATGCATGTGGCTGTCCTAGCTTTGCCATCATTATACATCTCTGATTCTCCATGTTCCGCAGGAATCTTATCATAATTTGGCTTCAATTTGTATTTTCTATATAGAGAGAAGGGACTGACCAGGGGATTGACTGTCAAGTCCCCATGGTGGCTATTTTTCTCGTTATAAATTAGTGAATTGGCATTCTGGCTTACACCTCCTTCTCTTGGTGTTGGGATAGCATCCACATAGCTCTGGACTCCCATGTGATGGGTTCTTGGAGCTGGCTCAGTTCTCTGGGCTCTACTTCTCTAAGGCTCCACCTAGGGAGGCAGGGGCCTTCCCAAACCCCACCTTAGTTGCTAGCCCCAAATCACTGAGGCAGCAGGATCAGAACTCACTGCTTTGTAAGCATGACTGGCCCTGTGCTCAGATTTTGTTCTTCCTTCATCTTTAGTGACGTTCTCTTGGGAGATACCATTCCTTTACGGAGGGAAATAAAGGAAGGATATCTGCCAGCTGCCGTGGCTCTGGTTGAGCGTCAACCAAGGAACCCAGAGGTCACTGGTTCAATTCCCAATCAGGGCACATGCCAGGGTTGTGGGCTCAATCCCCAGTAGGGTGCATGCAGGAGGCAGCGGATCGATGTTTCTCTCTCACATTAATGCTTCTTTCTCTCTCCCTCTCCCTTCCTCTCTCTGTAAGAAAATCAATAAAAACATTTTAAAGGAAAGGGGGGGAAGGATATTTGCGTTTGTCTATAGTTGGGCAGATCTCTGCAGACATGAGGTCAAGTGTAGGGTGGTAAAGGGTTTGTGGGTCAGAGAACCCAGTGGGGTATCAGCCTGCACTGAGTTAGGGTCTCTTGTTCAGCCACTCTCACCACCCATCACATGTAGTGTACCTACCAGAGCTTGCTGTAAGGAAGCACACATTAATTTTTTTCAGGTGTGACAGTCTGCCTGAGCCCTGGGGCCTGAGAAAGAACACAGGAGCCCTACCCGGTTTGGCTCAATGGATAGAGCATTGGCCTGGGGACTGAAGGGTCCCAGGTTTGATTCCTGTCAAGGGCACATGCCCAGGTTTCGGGCTCGATCCCCAGTAGGGGGCGTGCAGGAGGCAGCCGATCAATGATTCTCTCTCATCATTGATGTTTCTCTCTCTCTCTTCCTCTCCCTTCCTTTCTGAAATAAAAAAATATATATTTTTAAAAAAAAGAACACAGGAAAGGTCAGCTGAGGACCAGCCAGCATCCTCTGGGTGCTCTGGCCTGGTTCCAAGCCCTGCTAGATTAGGGCTATCCCCACAGCTGATCCTGTGATCCTCTTAGAGACACAAATGAGGATTAAAGGCAGTCTAATCCAAAGAGCTGGGCATCCCCATGTGGGGCCAACAAGGGCTGTCATCCAGCCCTGGTCTCAGGCTGAGACTGACCACAAGAGGGCCTGGAAGAAGCCAACAGGTCTTCGAAGAAAGCCATGCTGTCTGGACTATGGATCCACATCCGTGCCTCTAACCTCCACCTATTCTTTCACCTGACCCAGTCCTCTTTGGGACTGCTTTTCAGGCACTTCCCACCAGTATTATGATTCTTCAAGAATGATTGGTTGTCAGCTTCCCTGAAACCCTTGCCCAACCCCCCTGAAGTGGGGACAGGGATCATCCTATGTGCTCCCACAGCCTGTCCCTATTGAAACACTCATCACATCACATGGCAATTGCCTGATTACACATCTGTTCCTCCCACCAAAGCATGAGCTCCTTAAGGTCAGGGACTCTTACTCAGCAGAGTACAATATGTAGTGCTCAATCACGCATTGAGGAATTACAAGGGATCAGCTCCACTGTGTCCCCACCTAGCTTCCCCTTCACTTCTTAACAAAGTAGGATAATAACCCCTAACTTGAAGTTTTCCCAGAGGTTCCTTGGGAGGTCCGGTATTAGGGTAATATTAATATCCTAATGATAACACTATGAACCTAATGATGCCAATATTGTCCCATTCTGAGTCTGAGAAAACAGGTTCAGAATTGAGTGACTTGCCAAGGCAGTGTAACTAGGAATATCAGAACCCAGACCTTTGAACTACGTTCAGAGCTTCTTCAGCTGTTTTAGTTCTTAAAATTCAGTGCAGCTTATCCTGCATGCAGGCTTAGTCTTGTTATCTTCCTTTCTCTGAATAGGAAACCCAAGTTCCTAATTCATGCATCTAGGAATGACAGAGCCAGGATATGTGCCCACGTCTGCATGACTCCAAGCCTCATGCTCTTTTCTGTACCGTGCTGCTTCTTCCTCAGCACAGGAGGGTTTGGGCTGTGAGAAAATGATCCAATTGTGGATGGATAATTGGGGAGGGGAGAATCAAAGCTAACCTAGCTCACCCAGCCGTCGTCGTGAGCATCAATCTATGAACCATAGGTTGAGCGTCAATCTATGAACCAGGAGGTCACGGTTCAATTCCCGGTTGGGGCACATGTCCGGGTTGCAGGCTCGATCCTCAGTGTGGGACATGCAGGAGGCAGCCAATCAATGATTCTCATTGATGTTTCTATCTCTCCCTCTCACTTCCTCTCTGAAATCAATAATAATAAAATAATAATAATATATATGGAAAAAAATAAAAGCTAACCTAGCTCTTTTGCTACCCACCTTTTCCCACCCAGGCTGTGGAAACAGTGCCCTGAGCTACGAGCTGTACCTTGGGGGCTTCCCTGATGTGACCAGTGTGGATTACTCATCAGTAGTTGTGGCCGCCATGCGAGCTCGCTACGCTCATGTGCCCAAGCTGCGCTGGGAGACCATGGACATACGGGCACTGGGCTTTCCCAATGCTTCCTTCGATGTGGTGCTTGAGAAGGGCACGCTGGATGCCCTGTTGGCTGGAGAACGGGATCCCTGGACCGTGTCCTCTGAAGGGGTCCACACTGTGGACCAGGTGCTGAGTGAGGTGAGGGAGCAACAAGAGAGGAGGGCAGACCAAGAGGTGGGGGTGAGGGGTTGAGGTTTCAGGAGATTGGATGAACTTAGAAGCCAGAGGAGGCGTGGTTTGGAGCAGTCACTTTCAGGACTGTGGTTACCTGAATGAAGGGGAGAGTTACACTGGTCAGGATTATAGGAGGCTGGAGTGGCCAGCTTCACAGAGCTACTGGGATGCCGTAGGGATGGCATAGCAGCCAGGTTCCAGATAGGTAACAGCCTGGGAGGGTGGGCAATTGGCAGGAAAGCAGTACCCCCTGGCTTGACATCATTCCCATGCTCCTACCTGTCTAGAATATAGCCCTACCCCTTTGAATGACCAGGGACACAGAAGGAGGCTCAATTTGCCATGGAGAGCTGGATGTAGAGTAGTATCTGGGAGGTCAACTGGGACAATACTGACCTTTGAGAACCTGAAGATGGAGTCCTCACCATTGGCTTCTCTGTCTGCCTTGCAGGTGAGCCGAGTGCTGGTCCCTGGAGGCCGGTTCATCTCGCTGACCTCTGCTGCCCCCCATTTTCGGACTAGACACTATGCCCAAGCCCGTTATGGCTGGTCCCTAAGGCATGCAACCTATGGCAACGGTTTCCACTTCCATCTCTACCTCATGCACAAGGGCAAAGAGCTGAGTGTGGCCCAGCTGGCTCTTGGGACCCAGATCCTCTCATCCCCCAGACCTCCCACCTCACCCTGCTTTCTCCAGGACTCAGATCATGAGGACTTCCTCAGTGCTATTCAGCTGTGAGGCCAGAAGCATGGTCCTTGAGTCCTTACCTTTCTGCCCTGGACTCCTCAAGTTGTTGTAATTCCTGACTCAGGGCTTAGGGTTGGGTCCATGGTGCTCACATCCCAGGGGCCTGATGCCTAAGAGCTGATGAAAGCAACCCCACATGAAACAATATAGCCCAGGCTAAGTTACATCTCAAATCACAGGTTTCCGGCTTCCTTCTTCGGTTTCTCAGATCTCTCCTGGGCTCCCCAACTTCCTCTCCCACCATATTGAATCCACCACAGCCCCTCTGCTTGCCAGCCAGACTCAGAGACCTGCATCCCTGGGGCCTGTTGTTGCCTCCCCACCCCCTTCAACCTGGATTTATCCACAGGAGGCTGCAGACTTTGAGTCTAGATTGCTTTACAATTCTGACCCTAACTCCAGCCCCAGCTCTGGTGACCTATCCTGTTCTGGTTGTATATTTACCCAAGAATGCTACATTGTAATGTTCTCGGGCAAGGCTGCCTGCTGTGCTTACTTGGCAACTCTTCCCTGCCAGCAACATGCACCTGAGATGCTCAAGTACCCACTCCCCTCCCCAAAAGGGACTAGAGCCATTTTTGCCTGACCCCTGAGCAAACCGAAGCAATAGCCACACACACACACAGGGAGGTCTGTGTTTATTCACACACTCCTGGTACAGTGAGGATGGAGGAACATTTACAAAGGACACCCCTGGGTGAGAACATCTCTAGGGCCACAGGTGTCATCCAAGGGTGCAGATCAGTCCCCATTTGGGTTCCCAGGGGCAGGGGGCAGGGGTCCAAGGTAAAATCAGACCTGGGCCCTTGGAAGGTGATACCTGGAGGGGAGGGGTCTGCCAGAGAGCCGCCTGGGGTCGGGCCTGGGCAGACTGGCCACATGTTGGTTACCATGTTGGGGGCTTGTCCATGCCCACCCTCAGCACTCATCCTATCTGCCAGGCGCAGAAGAGCAAGGACGAGACCGAGGGGGGAGGGCACTAATCATGAGGGGAGCCAGTAAACAAAGAGTCGGATATAAAAATACAAATGTGCTGAGGAAGTCCCTTAGAAAGAGGCCGAGGCTGGGGTCACGCCAGACAGGGGTGAGGGTGAGGAGCGGCCTGGAGGGCTGGGCTCAGGTGGGTGGGAAGCTCATGCAAATACGCAGCCAAACATCCCTGGCCGCGCGGTCCGACCCGGCTGGCAGCCAGTCTGCAGACCAAACCGGCCGGAGAGGGGCGGGGCTGGGGAGCCGTGCGGGAGGGGGCGGGCCGGGGGCTGAGGGCCGCGGGGCTCGGTACGTTCTGGTGTGCGGGATGGGGCTGCGGCCCGCGGTTCTAAAGTGCATGAGCGCGGCGGTGGGCTCCGGGCGGGTCCACGCCGCTGCTGTTGCTGCTGCTGCTGCTGCCGCCGCCGCCGCCGCCGCCGTGGTGCTGAAGCG